GGGGGGGGGGGGGGGGGGGGGGGGGGGGTCGAGAAAACGTTCCTCTGGAAATCCTTTGAAGTTTACGTTACTTCATATCAGTGTCTGTTCCAAGCTCGTTCGAAATTTTTCAAACACACTTGGCTTTGTGAGTCCTGAGTTTGAGCTGCTATGCTTCTTTACTTAACTATGACATTTTCATTCAGCCAGGTATACCATCAAATTGATCAAAATGTCAAATGTATAATAATAATGAGAATTGAAGCTATTTTGTTTCAGATATATTAATATACTTTGGGAAATCATTGAAAATAATTTCCCTTTTTCCCCAGAATTTGGGCGTCCAAAGGTGTCCATTTTTTGTTCTATGGGCGTCCCAGGACGCCCTTCTGGCTAAAAGCCTGCACTGTATATGTATACAGTACATGTACATGTTATTTGTTATACTAACATTATGAAGAGTGTCACGATCAAGGACCCCATCACCTTCTGCATCAAACTGGTTGAACAACTGCAAGATAAAGAAATCACAAAGTAAACAAGAATAAATGCAGTATGTTTGACAGTGGTAGCAGGGGGAGGCAAGGGGGGAAGATTGTGATGGAGGGCAAGGGTATAGGAGAAGCCCCCCTTCCCCAATAATTTCTGAAAGCTTTTAAGTGGTAACTGAATCACAATATAACAAAGCTGTAACAATAATTTTAAAACCATAATGGCATTGCATGTTGCCAACTATTCCTGGGGAGAGGGTGACAGTTCCTCTGGGGATGTGCACTCACAGAAAATCCATATATGAAAAAGACATCTCCTAACAGATCCACTTACTTCAACTGCATCATCTTTTTCCACACCTCTATCAATCAACATGTCAATGAATTGCGACAGAGTAATTGTTTCCTAGAAATTATCAACCAAAATCAGACTCATACTAATCCTGTACTTCATTGTACTTTACTGTATTGAACTGTAGTGTAATTGTATGTACAGTGATTCTGGTGCACTCCTAATTTATATTTACCTCGTGTCTTGAACGTCTTTCCTCCACCCAACGTAAAAGCTGGCCATGCTGCTGCTGCAATATTGATGCTGAAGGCTCTTCCCTAAACATAAAATAAACCAAATTATTGGAATATGTTAACCCTTTGACCACCAGTGTTCTTTCTTTAATGAGCAGAATCATCTGGCATTAGACAGAGTAAAATAATAAAGTAGGACTCATTTGGGTGCATTGCAGCTTTAATAATGGGTTAAACATAACTTGCTGATTAACCCATTGAGTGGCAGCACTCTCCTCGTGATGAGTAAAATTGTCTGGCGTTAGACAAATAAACATAACAAAGTAGGGTGCCTCAGGGTACATTGCCACTTAAAGGATTAACAATGTAGATAGTTACTTACTTTACTTTTGAAGTTGCTTCCCGTAGTAGTTTATGGTTGAATAAGACTCCCAAATCAAAGGTATTGTCAAGCTCATCTTCTGCAAATATAAAATTCTTGTTCAATTCAAGGGTTTTTTTGTTTGTTGGCATAACATTTATAACCATGCAAATGGAACCAGGCTTGAACAAATTCCTTCAAATTTTATTGCAACTCCACATTTTTTTATACCCCCATTTTCTTGAAAAAATTTAATAGCCCCCCCCCCTTCTAGTAATTTATTTATATTTATGCCCTTGCCTATTTTTACCCCCTCCCCATTCCATAAATAATGACTAATGAATTTACTAGTTTTTGGAAGGAAGCTATTTCAGGTTGTATTATATGCCAATTTACATGCAAAATGAATAAAATGACCAGGATTGTTCGATTATACTGCAACTTGGGACAATCAGTAATTAGTCATTTCTAATTGCAGCATAATCAGTCAATCATTAACATAATAAATATGCATGTTATCGAGAATTAGAAAAATACTTACTAATGGTTCCATCTAAATCTGTAATATCCTAAAATAGAAAACATAAAAACACTGCTATTTGCTTTGAATGATGAAAATTTATTTATTAACCCATTTTAAATAGGTTACTGCTAGGGAAATATAGGGTTGGACAATATAGGGTTGGAATTCAGCCACCTCTAAAATACAAGTAAAATTTTGACATTTTGAGTAAAGGCCATTGTCAGGAAACTAGTCACTAAAACATCAAACTTTAACTTGTATTTTCAGGTTGAATTCCTATCCATCTGCATTTTTCTACTGCTAGGGTTGGGCAATATTTCGATCTTATCACAATATTGTCACTCATGATTATCTTATCTAAGGTAGAAACTGGAGCGACAATATATTGTAATCATCGTTACTGTCGATGAATATCATGATATTTCTTCACAAGTGCACATACTGTAGCTGTTATAAAAGCAGAAAACAGTATTTTCATTTCTTAAATTATAGTTTTTACGGTAAGAGAAGTAAAACTATTATCTGAAAGTTTGCCGCCATTACAGTGGACAGCTAAGGTTTATGAAATGATGAAATAAAGCAATTAAGGTTTTAACCCATCGAGTGGCAGCACTCTACACCTTACAAGTAAAATCGTCTGGCATTAGACAGAGTAAAATAATAAAGTAGGGTGCATCTGGGCACATTGCCACTTAAAGGGTTAACAGGGTACATAAGCAGATAGTCTGATTAACCCACTGAGTGGCAGCACTCTCCCCCTGACAAGTAAAATCATCTGGCATTAGACAGAGTAAAATATAAAGTAGGGCTCATTTGAGCACATTGCCACTTAAAGGGTTAAGCTGATTATTTCCTAGACGATAATCATGATGAATTTTTAATTATCGTCCAACTCAAGTACTGCATAAATGGGGACAATTGCACGAATAACAGTAAACACCATATAAATAGCGTCTCTGTTGGTGGTGGCATACAAATACATGCATCAATGCATCTTACTTGTAAGCAGATTTATAACTTAATCTGTATTCTATATTTTTTATTTAATACTTGCATAACTCTATTATTTTAAAAACCAAACACTGCCGTTTCACCGCCAGATGTTTCAAATAATTCTCATTGAAAAACAGCCATAATTAATAATGAACATTTATTTACAAAATGGAACGTCAAATCGAAAGTGCCCCCAAACAACGTACTTTAATTTCAAAAAATACCTAAAATACTCTGATTAAAACAACAGAAAAGTATTCGTCAAACCTGTAATAGGTTCCCTTCTTCTTCATCGCTGTCGTTGTTCACATTTGACGGCGAATTTCCCATATTTTCCTTTCAATTTTCAGTAGTTCAAAATAGACTCCATATTGATTATAAATATTTTTCCAGAACCCCCCTGGAATTAAGTCACTTTTTCCGGTAGGTAAGATCTCCGATATTGGTTTGAAGCTCCGGTATTTTATGCCGTACATGATATGCAGCATGAAAGATTTCTTTCCAAAAATTACAGTCATTATTATATTAAAAATTCATTATTAATAAGTTGCACCTACTTTATAAATTTACTCTATCTAACACCGGACGATTTTACTCGTCAATGGGAGGGGTTTGCGCATTAATAGTTAAATAACGGACTCAAAGCACAGACAAAAATTCAAATTTAATTTCAATGACAATGTTATAGTAGTATTTTATACACAACACCGTTTCAATAAATTACTTATAGTTAATATATAACTCTGTCTCTGATGCGCATTTCAAGACTTTAATTTTCAGCGACTAAATCCTGCGCTATAAGCCCCTCCCCTATAATCGCTCGAACGAAATACTTGTACAATAAATAACTATATTACAGCTCGTATTCAAATAAAGTTGAAATACTTGTAACTTGTTGAAAAGTAATTTCTGAATGTCGTACTCCGGAATCAAATCAGAGGCCTCTCGTTCAACGTATCAACGCGCCCTATTGCGCTGGGACATTCACAAACTTTTCATCAAGAATTTCGACTTAATTTTGACAAGTTCTCAATCCTACAGTGCTAAATACAACAAGGACTTAGAACTACTAAATACAATTATGATTTACAATATTTAAAAGTTATCATCACTGTCATTCAAACTCTCGCCATCTTGTGATCCGCTCTCAACATTATTGATGTCATCAATATCATCATCATCGATAATATCCTCGTCGTCATCGACGCCAATATCGCTATCACCTGATGATAACGAACTATCACCCTGGGTAGAAAAGTTGAATGAAATGATAAGATGGAAAAAAATACAATTAGCCTTTTCCCAGTGAAATTCACAGTGAGTTTTGGGATCGTTTGGAGGGATAGAATACATGGAAACAGGCGTCAAATATGTGAAAGAGTAGAAGTATCTATGATCAAATATCAACTTTTTAGACGACCAAAAATGAAATATCTCATTTTTACATGTGTACTGCCATATTTCTTGTCCCAAATCACTGAACTAAAGTACATTAGGCAAAGTATTGAACATAAACTCATAATTTGCAACGTTTTACTAACATGGTCAACATATTTGACGAATTATTTATAAGAGCTTTTAAAAAATACACGTTTCATTTGTTAATATCAGAAATTTTTATTTATTTATTTTATTGATTTACTATAGCTTCGACGACATATTTATACGCTACAGAAATAGTAATAAAAATACACAGTGAGAATATAAAGAGTCACAATGACAGGGTATCCGCAACAGCAGTATTCTTGCGCCCACATGTTGGGGATTTGTAGATGGCAATTTCGAATTTGATTTTTTTATACATTTATTCAATTTGGTAAAACACTGCAAAATTACGAGTTTATGTTCAGTACTTGGCGAAGTTGGCTATGCAAGTTCCACCCCCATTATTCCAAATTTAGAAACGTAATTGAGAATATTCACAACAAATTTTGGAACTATGCTTTGAAAAGTGAACCGAAATCAACAATTGGTATACTACCTCGTCAGAAATATCCCCACCACCCATGGAGCCAACCACGCGAGGTGCATCTAAAAACATAAAACAAATTACGTCTCAGATAAGAAGATTATATATTCTCATAAGAAACACCAATGTTTGTGTAACCAGCGCCTGAAGACCTCAATGGACCTATTCCCTAATGAACAACATTTTGATCTAGACAAGTCTAGACAAACATTTGAAAGAACATGACAAAATTAGTAATATTCCGAAGTTTCGTTGCAAAATGTTGTAAAATGCGGATAATATAGCACTGCGAAGTTTGCCGTTTTTCAGTCATTTTGTATTACGCACGGGAAATTGATACCGCTTTCTGAAAAAAGGTATCAATTTCCCGTGCGTAATACAAAATGACTGAAAAACGGCAAACTTCGCAAGGCTATATTATCCGCATTTTACAACATTTCGCAACGAAACTTCGGAATATTACTAATTTTGGACATTTTGCGATGCTCTTTCAAGCTGTGATAAAATCTTTGTCTACGCTTGTCTAAATCAAAATTTTGTTCATTAGGGAATAGGTCCATTAGCTCAGCCAATGAATTAAGTATTTTACAAGCCATACCTGCTTTAGCTCCAGGAGGTCGTCTTCCACCCGTATCAATGAGAACTTCATCATCGTCATCATCATCGCCACCTCCGAAATCATCCAGACTGTTAAAGTTATCTGACTGCAGGGATTTCTTCTCCTCGCTTCGAATACGCTCTTGGAGTTGACGTAGGTTTGCCTCATTTTCCTACAACAGTTTGGGAATTAAGGCCAATTATGTACCGCAAAAAAAATTTGGAAAATGCGATTGGCCGACAGAAATTTTCCGTCCTGAAAATTTTCAACTTTTCACAGAACGTTTTTCTGTAAAATTGAAACAGTGATAGCCATTCATCTCTGTGTCAAGTACCCTTTTAATGCAATGTTTTGAAAGAAACTTTGTAGTAATTGTAATGAAGGGCAAAATCTGCACTGTTTCACTACTGCACCTCCCCTAAATTTGTTCCCACCTCCCCACTATTTCCACCAAAATCCGGCCTTGGACCTACCCATAGTGAGCTTAAGCAAGTGACGTTTTTGACACCACGAACGGCATGAGTAACGTCAGAAGACTGGGTCAAGGGCTGTGATTGGTAAAAAACGTCAATTTTACTTCCGGTCGACGTCCGTGTTGTCAAAAAAGTCACTTGCTTAAAGTGGAAGTCAAGTCCGTTTTGTAAACAAACGGTTTGTTTTACATTATGAACTGCTGTAGTTTTTAAAATATGATGTACTGTCTGAATATCTAACACCATTTTGGTTCGCTATGCTTCTAAATGAATATGAAATAGAGTTTATGTTCAGAAAAATTCGAAACATTCGAAATTTGGGCAATGTTTACATCAGAGGGTCCTCACATTGTTATGAGCAGAACCGATGCGCAGAACGGACTTGACTTCCACTTTAAGCTCACTAATTGTGATAAACACTGACCTCAAATTTATTCTGTTCGGTTCGGTTAACTTCTTCCAACAGATGTTCAAGATAAGTAAGGTTGCGATATTTCTCCATGTATCCCTAAATAACGAAAAACATCTCATGTACATATGTTTGGTTAAAACTATGAGTTCTTGTTCCATCTCCTTAACTTTTTATCCAAATTAATTTTACCTCATAAATTGTCTTCAGTTCGACCTCTAATTTTTCATACTCATCCATAAAAGCAGGTCTAAAAAGACAAGGAAAATTAAGGAAAGAGTGTCAACACATACGATAGACAATTCCCATCATAGACTAGTTTTTATCTTGGCAAAAGAAAGAGCATACTAAAATGAGTAAAATTGCAAAGTTTGGTTACGAAATGTTGTAAAATGCGGAAAATATAGCCGGATCAGACAGAAGTCATAGGATGGCTCAATTCGAGCGCATCCTTCACAATTCAATACAGTGTCCCTTGGGCAAGTGCTTTTTCCTGGTATTCCCTACTAGTAGTAAGTCAGTCGCTTACCTAACACTTTCCAAGCTTTTCAACCTCTTATGATTTCTTTCCAACTCTGCTTTTTTCTTTTCAATTTTCGCCTCGAGATTCGCCTCGTCCGACGCGATGTTATCAAGCATGTGGTTCGTTTTCTTTATGTCATCCTAGACCAAAGAAGGTGCCATTTCATACGAGGTGGTTTTTGCCGCATTCCGGACTATGGTATGGAAAAAGTATTTTGCAAAAAGCTACAACGTCCATTCATACCTTCACATTAACGATGCTGGAGCTGATTCCACTTTCCAATTCATTCAACTCCAATGGTTTGGAGATAGCAATAGACCTCATTTCCTGAAAAAAATGGGTGTAAATCGCATAGGTGTAAATCGCTGTGGCTCAGTGCATATTATGTGCTTTTAAACCTTGCTTCCCCAAGAAATTAAGGTCCCTGAAGGTCTACTACTTTACTCCTCAAAGAGAGTTAGAGCCTTGTACATCAATGGGTTTAAAAAAAACACTGATAGTTTCCATTACAAACCGAGCTAGTTTACTTCAGGTTTTTTTTTAGTTTAGTCTAAAGTATTCTTACCCTGAGATCAACTTCACGTCCCAGAAGGTCATACAGACTTGCTCCTTTTGATGTTATTTCTGATGCAAGTGTTCTGCATTGCTTTAGATCACTGATCTGAAAAAAGAAAATTCCTGGTTTTTAATAAGCTAGTGCATGTATGTTGCTGAAAAATTTCATAGTTTTTTTGTTTATCAGATATTTTCCTGTAACAATTGTGCACTCAGTTCTTGCAACTTACTTGAATAGCAAAAGTTTGGACTAAATTAAATACAGTTGGCTTGTAAATAAAAACTACATACCCTTGATGAGAGATCAAATGAAACAGGGTTTAAATTTGATTCTGACGAGTCCTAATAAAGGAAACAAAATTCAAAATAACTCCATTAATTTAATCTAAAGAGCAGACAGAGGGAACACAGAGGTGCATGGGATGGGGCCAAGGGGGATGGGGCCAAGAGGGATGGGGCCAAGGGGGATGGAGCCAAGGGGGATGGGGCCAAGGGGGATGGGCCAAGGGGGATGGGCCAAGAGAGTGGTGGGCCAAGGGAATGGTGGGCCAAGGGAGATGGTGGGCCTAGGGGGGGGTTTATAAACAACGTTTTTGCAAGGTATTTGTCACCGACATTAATTCCTACCTCTGTGACATTTGTTTTCATGGCATCATACAAAACTGATGTGACTTTCAAAAGTTCTTTGACCGCATATCCATCAGCTCCGTATAAACGTTTTGTGTTGAGTTTAATATGCGCTTTGGTGGCCTGGTTCAAATTGGGAGCAAAAATCAGATCAGATTTGAAACCAATTATGGCAACTGCTGTGCCAGAAAATATGGTCACATATCCACAGGCAGTTATTATTATAACATTGGGGCTATTATTATATATTTTTTAAGGTTAATTTGATGGGGGTGAGGCAATGCAGGCCTCACCCTACAATAATATATATTAATAAAAATAATATAAAATTTTTTGTTACCATAAACTGGGCAACAGATTTGATAAAAATAACTCTATCTTGTTCTGTATCAATATCACTTGGTAAGTCAGCATTTGGATCATATCTAATTGAGTAAAGACATTTTGTGAGACAGTTCGTCTTTCAAAGAGTCATCGTCCGTTGACATTTTTGTAGTCACATGAAAGCTGGCTTAGTCAAGGGTACTTACTGCTTAATCAGGGTGGTATTTAAATATATGTACTAGTTACACAGTAATTGACCATGCACTTGCATTAATCTTGTTATTCTGAGGGTCACAGTAAAGAACATAATCTGGTGTATGAACCCCTGAGAGTTTGTATGCAAGCAAGATGTGATGCAAGCTGCAAGCTTCACAAGCATACCTTTTCACGAGCCAAATTAAAACTTCGGCAACCAAGGAGAAATTTGGAGATCTGAAGTTTTCCATTGAAATGAGCCTGGAGTAACCCAACGCACGCATCATTTCAGTGAAATCTAAACATTTGAACAAAATAAATAGACATAGTGTTTTCGACAAAATTAATTCTATTTAGGGACTGTTGACAATTAGGTTTCATCACCCTTAATGGCAGGTTGTCCGCTATCTTTGTAAGTTCTAGTCATAGATGTGAAATAAATTTTCTGTGACTAAAACTCAAATAATTTAATTAATTAACAGGATTTTTTACCTGCCCTTGAATATATCAGGTACATACATTTCACAAAAAATATAAACAGAACTTCGATGTTAATTTCAAGCATAGGCCCTTCATATGATCTTCCATGCTACTAACTTCTCGACAAAGGGCTTTTGCTTGAAACATTGAAGTTTTGCTTGTATTTTTTAGGTTCACTTGTTGAATACTTGAATCCCTCTCAATACATAGCTCTCTGGTGTTATTATCGGAAGTCGAACTTAAACTCTCTAATGTCACCACCCACACTGGCAAAAACCGTTCGAGTTTATATCAATTTGACATGCCCCCTTAAATAATTATCAGTTATTCCAAGGCAAACCTACAAGAAAGCTATTTATAATCTTATGTATACTATTATATATTATAGTATACATAACACAAATACATGACTGAAAAATAATACGAGATATATTGTTTATATATTGTACAAAATACGAGACAAAATACAGTATATTTCGGACTGTACAATAATTATCAGTGCTTGCCAATTGTGGCACGATATATACACCTAAACAAGCTTCAAAAGACAAAATTAAAACAATAATAAGTTAAAACAAGGCATAAACTTACTTCTCAAATCTCTGTAAGACATTTTCGTCCAAAATTGTGTGTTTTATAGCGAAATTTCTAAGCACTTTTCTCCCAAAACTTTGCAAAAATTTTCTAATTTGCTAAAATTTAAACGACGCATGCCCAGTTTGCGTACCCGCTGGACTTCGTTTGTTTACGTTTCCTTGGCAACCGCGGCTCACCTTGGCCACAGATTAGATATTATCATTATAGCTCAGTGGATATTAGCCTCCTCCGCAGGCATCTCACCCGACGAATCGGGTGGTGGGTGTCATGACATGGACCAACAACTAATCAACAATATCGTATAACACTTATTACGTAACATCTGATTTATATAATTACCAGGTCGAATCATAAATAA